TGCACTGAAAGCCCCTTATCTCATCAAATACCCCAGATAAATAGGGTCAGTTGGTCACCCTACGCCAAAGGCTCCCAATGTGACTGTGCTCCAGTTGCTCACAGGGTAAAGTGCTTAATTACACACATTTTACTGGTTTCCTGCCCTTTCCTGTCTCACTTCCTGATGGGTGTTTCCCAGGATCACCACTCAGTCAAACTACTTGCCTTTCAGTCTTTGTCTCAGGTTCCGCTTCTGGGGGAAACCACATGCCTGGCACATGGTATGCTCTCAAGAAATGTTATGAGTAATCATAGTAAAACATCATAACAAAGTTCTCTCCCTCTTCATTTCAGTTGCTTTAGAAACTCACAAAACACAGTAGTCATGTGAACCCTCAGATGGCCTGAGCGACAATCTGGTTTTGTCCACTCTCTGCAGCCTAATGGTAATTAGGGTAGGCAGGGTCTACCTGATCGAAGTATAGATAGAATATTTGCACAGCTACTTTAACTAGGGACTCTTATAACTGAAAAGAATTAGTTGAGAATGACTAAACTACTTATAGACTAAAACACTATATACAATTTATCATACAGCTAGCTGAAGTCCTATTTGCATTTAATAACAGAAGTCTCCCAAGTGTGACCAGCAATCCACCTACCTATAACTACATGATTGTAGGCATAGACCTACAGTGACATGTGCATCTACATCCAAAACATTTTGGGAGGAGAAGGGGTGACTTTTTTGAAATGTGGGATCCAGGTTCCCACCACAGATCCACCCGTCCCCCTCCCCCCCGCCCCCACTGAATGCTGCTGGGTGAGGACTGATGATCTGCCCATGTAACAGTCCCTCCTAGAGACTCTTGGGCCTGTTAAGCTTTGTGAGTCACTGCCCTAAACCATTGACAGAGGCTTTGTTCCTCCTCCTTGAGGAACCAGTGAAAATTCCTTACTAGTCCCAGTTGACCCAGGTAGATTTCTTCTTCGTTTTACCTGGTTTGTGCAGTACCATCTGAGAGCCCACTACTGCTCTTGCCCTACTTACTGGTCTGGGTCTGTTAGGGAGACCCAGAGGTCTCTCTAAAAGAAGTTGACAAAGTCACTTTCTAGGGGCCCAGTGTTTTGGATGTCTGCTTCCAAATTTGTTCAAGGGTCACTGTAAATAAAAGCCTTTCTCCACCATGGTACCCAGAGCCAGTGCCTGTTGACAATGGTGAATTAACCCAGCTAGTGTTTTGCCAGTTCTCTCTGATCTGAGTCTCTCTGTCTACCTAGCCTCAGGTTCAGAGAAAGGTCAGGACATAGGGCACTGTGCCTGAGCTGCCACCACGAAAGAATGTTTTGTTATACTCCCTTTGGTGGCAAAAGAATTTCATGTTCAGGACACAATATGGAGATGAATTTTCCTACCTGATGCCAGTAAATAGCCCAGCACCGCCTCCCCTCACCCAGCTGGCACAACTCCACTGTATCTGAATAAATTCCACTACAGGGTCTCCTCATACGTTTTCTTAGGTGCATGTAGGCTTCTGCACAGTAAATATTTTAAGGACATGGATTATGTCTCATGGACCTTCCGATGCCCAAAAGCAAACCTAAATCCTGGCTCATTAAAGGTATTGCAACAATATTTGTCAATATTTTTGCCAAATATACAGCAAACTTGTACATATTTGCTATAGTATGTAATGCATAATATATCATAATGAATGGTAAACTTCTATGCCATTATCTTGGTTTTATTTTCTTCATAACATTTATCATCTAGATTTGCCAAGTGTGTTTGTCGATATAGTCATTTATTGCCTCCTCAGCCCAACACACATTAGAATGTAAACCTTCTGCAGGTCTTATGAGCTGAGTCATGTTCTCCCAAAATTCATATGTTGAAGTCCTACCCCTAGGACTTCTGAATGTGACCATATTTGGAGTTAGAACTCTAAAAGAAGTAATTAAGTGAACATGTGGTCATTAAGGTAAATCCTAATCCTACTTGGCTGCTGTCCTTACAAGAAGAGTAAATTGAGACACAGAGACACACAGAGGGAAGACCTTGTAGATACAAGGAGAAGAGGGCCATCCACAAGCCAAAGAGAGAGGCCTCAGAAGAAACCAGTTCTGCCAACACTTTGATCTGACTTCTAGCCTCCAGAACTGTGAGAAAATAATTTTTTGTTGTTCAGGTCACCCAGTCTGTGCTACTTTATTATGGCCAGAGCAGACAAATACAGAAAGAAAGAAACATGCCTGCCTTGGCTACTCCCATAACCCCAGCACCTGGAACAGTTCCTGCCACGTAGCAGGTGCTTAATAAATAATTGTTGAATTAACACTCTGGAAATACAAAATACTTCTAGTTCCACCCAAAAGCACAAGTTGCTTCATACATGTGAGCCTTTGCATATGCTGTCCCTCAGCCCAAACCCCCTTCCCCCAAAAAATCCTATTTTTTCTTTAAAACTCAGTTTATTCTCATAAAATATCCTCAAACCTCGCTGGACAGAATCTATCACTCTCTTCCCTGTACTATTCTGAACTATGTACACATCTTCCTTCATTATTATACCTGCTAGGCTGTGAGTTTGACTTCAGAAACCATATTCAACTCTGGTCCCTGCCATCTGGTATCAGACTTGGTGCAGAGAAACTGATCAATCATTAAACTACCAAGGTCTTTGAATCCGTTATCTAGCTGCAGTGTAGACAGTCCCTGTCTGAAGATGACTCACTGCCTGTTGGGGGACATATTCATAAACACACATGTCTAGTACATACCAGTGTTAAAAATAAATTTCTATGCCCAAGATGGAGCCACTTCTGCCCAGGGTGGGATACATATGCCCCTGTAAATGCTATACTTAACTATAAATGCAGAAAGTCAGAAAGACCCCACTTCAAGCCAACTCTGGGGTCTATACTTACTTCCTTTTTCCTTCTCACTCCAAACAAAGTTGGCTATTTGGATCCAATCAGATACTTTCTATTTTTCTCTTCCTTATTTTGTATTCTTTATTCTATAAAAGATCCTACCTTCTGCCACATTTTTCAGTTCTCCAAATGGAGACTATCTACTCTGTGAAGTATTAAATGAGTTTACTTTTACCACCTAAATTGTCTTTTAAATTCTATTTTAACACTAGGTACTCAACAAAAATTTATTGGATTGAAATTCATTTCAATTCAAATTGTTGCCACCATAGCCACTTATTCTGCTTACTTAAAATGCCCTTCTCTCTCTTCTTCTTTCAAATAAACCACTCCCATCTTTCAAAGCAAAACTTGATTCCTAACTCTTAGAGAGCACTCTACCTGGCTACTTCAGAACTCACTGAGCTCCTAGAATTATTTTACGCTATGATTTACTATGAGGAACATGAACTCAGCCCAGACAGGAGGCTGGTCACACTACTTCTATTCTGGATCCCAGAACACTTCTTGGTTCTAAAGCCAGCAACAACCAGGTCTCCTCATGCCATGCACCCACCCAGCCTAGGAGGGCCACTCCATGCCCAGGGTGGATGCAATGCCTGCCTGGGTATCACAGCCTGCATTTCACGTTACGTTAAGGAACAAAATCTGCATGTACAGAAAATATTGACAGGAACCATCTGCCCTCCCCCAAAGCTTGAAAGAAGCTGCATGTGGACTCCCTAATCCTTCCTCTCTCCCCTCAGCCAGGAATGAATTTCATTTGGAGGCAAAATTGGAAGGGGAGGGGTGCTGTGAGGGAGAGGGAGCCCAGAGAGGTAGGCCAGCCACATCTGGACAGCCTTTCTCTGTAAATTCAGAAGACTGCAGGGAATCACTTTCCCCCCTTGACAAAGGAAATGGCCCATGGTCAGGAATTGATGACTTGCAAATCTCATGCAGGCGAAGAGGTTATTGTGCCTTAAGGTTTTAGGGACTTAGAAAAAAATACAGAGCAAATAATTTAAGTGGGGCAGCTGTTTGTAGGACTAGAAACCCTACCACCAGCACCAGTCAGCAGAGAGAGTAGTTCTGGAGGATGAGCATCTTCAACGCAGTCTAGGGTCCCAGTGGTACATATACAGTCATTTACTTGTTCAGCAAGATTCTTTGCCAGGCAGGATACTTGGTACAAGGGAAAGAGCCACGGGCTTACATTCATCTTCATCTCTTAACAGCCTCACAAAGGAAATAGTCATATAAACAATAATATACAGACCAACAGTCACAAGCAATCATTTGGAAATAAGGACAGATCAGGTGTTAAGTACTATAAATGAGGTATTTAGAAAAACTATTCACTTTACTAGTACCTTGACATGGGGGTGGGGTAGCACGAGACAAAGCCTTGGAGAACAGGGCACAAAGCTGGATCCTGAAGATTGTCCACTCTGCCTAAAAGGAAAAACCCTCCAAGGAACAATGCAAAAATCAGCGACACTTTTGGGCAAAGGAAGCTGGATCTACTTTGGGGTATAACCTAATCCAAGAGAGTTGCTGTAAAAAAAGTGTTCCTGGAAAACAGACCTTCCAGGTAGGATTCTGGAACTGTAATACCCACAGGTCAGACAGTGATAAGGAACCCACTGCTGGTGGTGAAGGACTCTAAATGGGTCCTTCAGCAAGGTCACAGGAAAATAATTTCAGGGACACTCCCATAGGGGAGTTTTAAGCAGAAGTGGCAGGATTTATCAGGGCAAAAAGCAATAGTACACTCTCGGAGAGGCAGAGAGTGGGCAGGCTATAGTAGTAGCTATGAGGACTCAGGAAAGGAAGTTACCCAGGCAAAAGGAGAGTCCTCTGCTTCTGCTCACTTCTCCCCCGTTTGCAAGTCTTGTGGGGACCCTTGGAGTAGATGAAAAGAAAGCAAAAAGCAGGTGCTAGAGAGAAGGGTGGGCCCAGGCATGCTCCAAGGAGGGACCCCCTGGGTTCTTTGTCCAGCTTCCATATATTTCCTTGGTTTCAGGAAAGAGCAAGCTTTCCTTGAAACTACCCAATCTCTTCCCTGGCTTTTCCCAGGCTTGTGCTTATACCCCCACCCCTTACCCAATTTCTTTTCTGGATTCTCCAGGGATTGTGCCCTTCCTTCCGCAATCTAATCTTTTTCCCCTACTTTCCCAGGCTTGTGCCCTCCTCCTGGTATGGTCGCCATTTTTGCTCCTACTGTGCATGTCTCACAGTTCTGTTTCAGTTATTTGGCTTGTACTGTGCATGCGCTTAGTGAAAGGAATTCCCCCCTTGTGATTCCCCACCCATAACTGTTTTGTTTGCTCCCTCATCTTTAGTTAATTATCTAACTGCCTACTAAGTACTAAGACCGAGGTGGGTTGGGAGGAGGTGAAGCATGGGGACATTGAGGTCAGTGGTAGTTACAAGGATTATGGACTTGGCTAGCTGTGGGTAAGTTTTTGAAGTCTTGACAAAAGAAAATGATAGCTCAGTTAATAAACTATTCAAGTTTTGGGGTAAAAGTCAGGAGGCCTCCATGGCAGCTGGAATGGCTCTTTGAAGCTTAAATGTAAATTTGGCCTAGAGCAAATGAGAAGGGTACCAAAAGGCAGAGTACTGAGGGAAGGATCAGAGGGCTCAAGAAAATAAGAACATGAGTATTGTGTTCTCATGTGAGACTGTTCAGCATCTCAGTTTACTGCAGACACTACAAGCCCTATTGCATCTGTAAGTCAAAAGAGTTCAGTGAAGAGCCACCAGACTTGAGTGCTGTGGAAGAGCTAGAGTTTCTTCGTCTAACCTGGGCCTCTCTTAAAACTTCTAGTTTTTCAAGTCACCTGACAAATAGGTGAGAGCAATATACCCAAATATGGCACCAACTGAGTCCAAATTTTTAAAAAGCCCACTTAGCACCATGCCTCCTTCATAGGGGAAAAGAGAACAGGAATGGCCACTTTGTCTTTGGAGGAAATAGTTAACATGCTGTAGATCAGGGGTCTACAAACTAAGGTCTGCAAGCCACGCTAAGCCCTCATCCTGTGTTTGTAAATAAAAGTTTGTGGGAACAGGGTCATGTTCATTGGTTTGCATATTGTTTATGGCTGCTTTCTCCATGCAACAGCAGAGCTGAGTAGTTGCAAGAGAGACTATGTACCCAAAGTTATAATTATTTTCTGTCTCGCCTTTGACAGAAAAAGTTTGCTAACTCTGCTCTAGATCACTAGAGCTATACAGAAATTCAACTTCACAGGATGTATATAGCTCACCATCTGCTCATGTGTATCTTGCCAAACATCTAAGGAATCTGCTATTTCTAGTCTTACCTACCGTAGGGGGAAAAACAACTTTCCTCAGCCATGTTAAAGTCTCTATCTGGGTCCAAAAATTAAAGTGACAAAGACAGATTAACAGAAGAAAGCATACAAATTTGATTGAATTTTTGCATATAGAGCCTTCACAAGAGAATGAAGACCTGAAGAAATGTCCAGAGCAGGTCATTTTATATCTTTTAGGGGGGAAAAGAACAACAACAAATTTGTGAAGCATTGACAAGACAAAGTAGTTTTGGCTGGAGTGGTAAATGAAGAGGTAACAAGGGAGGTAAGGGTTAGGCTTAACAAGGTTTGTTCATACAGATTTCTCAACCCTACACCATCCACCTCCAGTGGTCCCCAAGTCTTCTTTCCTTCCTCATTGTTGGGAACCGCTTTGCCTGGTTTCAGGAGTTGTAACTGCCGCACCCCCCCTCCCCCCATGGCTAAGGCTCAGTGAGTAACCTCCGGAATGTGAGCCACTAAGGAGACAAAGCTTGTCTCTGCTTCATCCCCTGCCCCCAATGCTTGGTCGGTTAGTCTATGACAAGTACGACCCATCAGAGAAGGGGCAACCTAAGCCAGACATGATCACTTGGGAGGCCATCATGGGAGAACTTGAGGGGCTGCAACAAAGAGGGAGTGATGGACCCTCGCCCCCCAGCTATTCTGACATAGCCCAAATACCCACGTCCTCTGGGAGAAGTACTTCCTGACTCTAATCAACTTAAGCCTAAAAACCTATGATGGGGAATGTGGTGCAGCCCTGTGCTGGAAAGGGCGGGTTCTCCGGGTGATCAGGCCTAAGAAAGAATATGTAAAATCCTGTAAAACCTGCTTTAGAATGCTCTCATTTAAATAATAAGGGTCCAAGAAAAAAGTTTGTTCCTCAAAGTTTTATGGCTCTTTAGCTATTTGACCCTGACTGAGAGTAAGCCCTCATACTTTTTTGAATGCTATCTATTGTTTGATCCTTACCTGTATTCTTATGCAAAACGAACCGAATAAAAGCCCCTTGAGGAAGGGGCTCTTGGTCCTTCTCCTTTGAGGAATCAGCCACCTTTCCTCCCCAAGCATATCATGTCTTGGTAGTTTTCACTGTCATCCATGGTGGACAAAAGGATCTTGTGGGCAAAGTCGCCCCCACACCTCATGTACAGATGCAGAGTGTACCTTTCACATGAAAGTTTTGTGACCTGTTTTCTGGATGAAAGGCAAGGAGGGGTGGTCAGAGTGAGCTTCCTGCTTCTGCCATTTCCTTGAACTCCTTCAGCCTAAGATATTTAATGTGCCAAGGTGCCACAGTCTGGGGTCACATGTTTTGAATCCCATCATTACATGGCATCTAACTAGTGGACTTGCATGATGTCTAGTAAGATGGCGAGGCCATCATGATCTTTTAGAATAGACTGCAGCACATACCTGGAGAATTGACAAACCCCTGATTCCAGTGAATAGTCTTTTACTACATAATCTATCAGGTCGGAGCAAGCTGCTCTAATGTTCACTGTGATTCAGAAGGAAGAAAATGCATTTGCTGACTCAGTAGCTGCAGAAAGAGAATGCCTCCAAAATGGCAGCTGCAGTTTGAGCCTCCACCTAATCACAGTTACAGGCAACCATTATTATCTCAAAGATCTATTGACCCTGGCAAATTAAAAATTAAGTGGGGATGAGCTAGGAAGTACCCTGACTTTACCTTCTAAGTCTGTTGGTTGTGGTAATGTCTTCGGCTCTCCTTGGTAATGTGTTATTGCTTTTGATTTTTCCCTTTTGCATAACTGGTGAATGCCAATAATTCTGTGTGATCCTTTCTCCATGATGAGCTTTACCATAGGGCAGGAAAAGATGTGGGAATTGTGTCAGTTGCTGAAGATATCCCTTCTAGCTTCACACTAGGGTAATAATGACAAGGAGATTTTGTTTCCTATTGTCCTTCTCTGTAGAGAACTCAAGTGAGATCTGTATATAACTCCTGACTTACCACAGTCCTCCCTCACCCCCTCCCCGTGTTCACTGGGGAACCACAGTGCATTTCTGAATCCCTAGCTTTAGCTTGAAGCCAGTGTAAAATAGAATTCCAAAAGGTTAGCCACTTCTCTTCCCTTGGGGTACAATTCCTGAGTTTCAAGAGCAGCCGGTCCCTTTGGGGAAGACCCGAAAAGATATTCACAGGTACACTTAGAGACACTACCCTAAGACTGATACAGGCTGCTGTGGGTCAAAACTTAGTCACTGGCCACAAGTAAAACAAATGGTTGGGCCAACAGCTTAACCACCTTTGCACTGAAGATCATGTGCACTGAAGATCATGTGTGGAGCAAGGTCCATTGTCAACTGTTCCAGGACTCCCCACTATCCGTAAGACCTCAGCGACTGAAGGCTGAGCCAGATGCAGTACTGGAGAGATGTGGTGGGTAATTCTGTGGCTCAAGTCAGTCATTACTCCATGCTTGAGCAAGTTACAGTCTAGCAGGGGAGACAAAAATTACATGCATAAATGTTTACTCTCTTACTGCATCAAGATCATGATGTGAATGCAGTATACTGTGGAGACCCTGTAGAAGGGGACTCTCCCCTTGTCCAGCCAAAGAAGGTTCCAAGGAAATGACATAAAATCTGAAGGATAGCTGAAACATCAGGGTACAAAAAGCAAAACATTAGACTCCCCATTTTGTCATAACTTTATTTTTAAAATAAGATGTTTATGTGGATAAGTAGAGTATCCCTCTCCACTGCTGGGGCACATTATTCATATTCTGGGAACTGGCCAGGGTACAATGTGATAATTTGTAGGCAGTATGTACATATGCATACATAGAAAATATCTGGAAGGATATACAATATTGTGTTAAATGTGGTATCCATGCAAGGTGGAGTTATTAGTAGGTTTTTACCCTTATAAATAGCTCTCCATATGATTATTTTCCACATACACATAAAAAGCAGTTACTATTTTTGTAATAAGGAGAAAAACGTGAGTCGTTTGTTTTCTTAAAGGGAGAGAAGGCGGTGCATCAATTTTTAAGCCATCTGATCTCTTGACTGTCACCTCCAGGGCATCTACCTGTGCATATCCCTGCATCACCCCTGTCATCATGGATTTCCAAAACTGAACTCTAAAGATCAGTGAGTGGAGTCAGGCTTGCCCAGGACTGCAGCATTTAGTACCCTGAGCCAAGGGCAGTGACTCTGACATTAGGCAGACACTCGGTGCTTGGTTTCTGTGGCACATCTGGCCGTGGCTGTGCCCTGGGCAGCGTGAATCCTGGGCCAAGTGTCCCTGGGAGACACGGCCTGTCATGGTCCCCATATACATCTCCCTTCTCCTCCTAGAAGACTAATACAGGTTGCTGTGGGTCAAAACTTAGTCTCTGGCCACAAGTAAAACAAATGGTTGGGCCAACAGCTTAACCACCTTTGCACTGAAGATCATCAAAACATCTTGAACTCTTTCCTTAATATTTTGGGTTTGTCAAAACTCTCAGTCATGCTTGGCTGATTAATTCTAAATGCACACTTAAAAAGAAGCAGGGGAAAGCAAATGGGATCCTTATGTTTTTGATTCATTCACACCTAATTCAGCCAGATGTGGGGAATGGGTGGAGGAGGGGTACCAGATGCTCTGCATTTGATGACAAAGTATTCCATCAAGACAGGAGGCTGACAGGGACCTGGTGCCAACGTGGAGCCAGAAACCTAGATTCTTCTTCAATCTTCGCCAAGTGCCAGGCCCCGTGCTGGTGCCACAGACACAAAGGTAAACCAGTGAGATTTCCTCAAAGGATTTAAAGTCAAAGTCAGAGATGAATATATAATCAAGTAACTTCCCTACAGTGTCAGGGATGTACTGGGTAGACTGGAACATCAAAG